TCCAATTGAGAACGCTGAGTAATAATATGCATCCGTTACTTTTTAATAGTTTACCATTTTCCAGCTCGAGTATGTAGGATTTTCATTACGTATATTACGCATGCCATGCGAATTAAAATGTAAACGATGATGTTTTCTCATTGTAAGCATTAGTGTTATTCAAATAAAATATTTTATTCAAATAAAAATTTAATAATAATTTTTCAAATATTTAATATATTAATGAAATAATCTTATTTTTGTAAATGTTATTTTAAAACAGTTATTCATTAATTTATTATAAGAAAGAAATAATCTTTTTTAAATTATATCATTTCTTAACTATCAAATAGAATTCAATTTTATTTTGTGTTTTATATTTGATGAACTGTTTCTATAAATAATTTCATAAATAGTTTCTCGTTCTATTATGTCAACGTTAGCGATTGCATACTTCAATCATGTATTATTCAAGGGTAAGTGTATAAACAATATGACTCATCACCTTCGTGATGAGATTATCTGATATTCTATTTGAATGAAGCGACTTAAATGAAAAGTTACTTGTAAATAACTTAGTTGATTTTGGGACAAAATGAAATTACTTTATATAGTTTAATTCTAAAATAAAAAATGTTATGTGAAGCAGTTGAAATTATTTGTTATTTAAAATTTTTATTTTTTTGTATTCGTTTTTAAATAATCTTTATATTTATATAGCCTCAATATGGATAAGATATATAGGTTATTCCTAAATTCTTATTTTTTCATTTTTATTTTCATTTTTCATTTATATTTATATAACCTCAATATGGATAACATATCTAGGTTATTCCTAAATATGTAGAGTTGAAAATGGTTGCAACAAATGACAAAATCGCATTCCTAAATGAAAATAACAAAGATAAATTCCAGTGACTCATTCGTAGGTCATCAAACCAACAGGTATTCCGAGGATTAACTGGTTTTACGGTTTCCTGGCAGCAATAATAGAGTTTCGAAAGACCTTCACGCTGAAAGTATCATATGTTCCGATACCTTTTTTTTGGAAAATTAGTTTTCAAAATTATCTTTTACTTTTTTATATTAAAACATATATTTATTTACTTTTCTACTGGTCGAATAGACAGCACTACAAAAAATTTATCAACCTTAATAAAAAATATTGATTATTTAATGAAAGCTTTTATTACTATTAATTATTCACTATTTATTTACCATTCAAAGTTTCATTATTTGTGTCGAAGCAAGGAAGTTTATTTAAAATATAAAAAGTTTAGCATCGATCAAGTGCTTCAACCATAAAATTAAATAAAATTCAAACAATGGATTAATCACTATAGCTAGTGAACGATATAATCCCCGACATATTAAATACTCGATAGATTTTCTGAATTGCTTTTCAGGACGAGAAAAGTCGGTCCACATGTGTTTATTTGTCCATTCTGCACTTGAATGAAACTGAAATATATTTAAACAATTAATAAATTTTTAATATTTTTAAGATACATGTCTGATACGAATAAATGTACCAACATATACAAGTAGATGACGAAACATGGGAACAGTTTTATCTGATTGAGTACAAATCTGGACAAGTTAATCATAGTACATACAGAAAATCTTGATGCCTGTATCTAACGTTCTGATGATCAGCCGCGTTTCATGACGATGCATACATCACCGAGATGAGCTCCGATGTCACGGTGAAGCGTGACGAGATTAGATAAGTCTGTCATAAATGCATCCAACGGGGAAAGATCACAATAATCATCGCATGTAACAAGAACATCTAACTTTAAAATTCAATTTTATGTTTCTATATATATTTTCTGAATCATATTCGAGTGGTATGTTCTCTTGTATAATCAATTTGGAATGTCACACAAATATTTCGAGATGTTACACTAGCTTTTGGTCTAATTTTAAATAACAAACATTTTCTATTAATTTTTCGTACAAAGAATTATATGTATATATTTTTTAACAACTGAAGTATTAGAATTTATTTTATTTTATTGTGCATAGAAATAATTGCAAATTTCTATTGTATTTTCAATTACTGATAACAGACTATGTGGCTGTAAACATAAAATAAGTTTCATTCTACAAATATTTGATTTTTATTTATGTAATTTTTCATTAAATGAAGTGATCATTGATTTCTACTGACATTTTATTTCATCAAAAGTGAAAGGACAATTTTATTAAAACTTTTAGTGCAACTTCGTTGAGTTCTCAGTTGACCCATGCAATAGGTGAATAAAACACATTATCTACTTACCAATATCTAAGACATGGGATTCAATTACTAATGATAATTAGATAGTACACGTAACCATATGTCGAAAACTTCTATAACGTTTTCTAAGGACAAGTAATGAGACAGAAGCTTAATTCCTTGCATTTGTTCCCGAGCATGCATTTACTCTATGAAACACCATGCATTTAGTTTCAAGGTTCATCGTAGTTTTCCCTTGAAATTAGTTTCTCGAGGTAGATTACAGTCTCAATTAAGGCCGATTTTCTTATTACCCTTATTAAAACGTGCATCCGAAACATCTGCATGAAAGGAAGCTCGTTTTTTGTCTGGTCATGTCCTTTTGTGAAAGGATGCACCCCGTTGTATGGAAATCCAACGAAACTGTGAATAGTCCTGGCGACCAAGGTTTTATCCACTCGGCAGAATGTATAGCATGGGTTGTGTAATTGAAATAGGTTACTTTTTGTGAATAATTAATGGAGGAAGCAACACACTTGAAAAAGATCTATTTTCTTGCCATTAAGTCTTCCTTAAAAATTCCAATAGTGTTATTTAACAATTTTAGAAAATAATCTTATTAGATCTTACAATATAAAATATCTTTAAAAATATTCAGTTTCCAATGATAACACTTTTAACCTTTTTTCATATAAAATATGCATTGCATGGAAATTATTTATGCAAAAACTTAGAACTTGATTTTAAAAAAAGTGCAATTGGACTTTGCAACTGCATTAATGAATTTATGAAAAGACTGGTATCGAACTTGTTAAATAAAGTAAAAATTTTCTTTACGATTTTTTCTAGTTTCAATAAGGTTAGAGTGATAGCCTGTCCCACTTATTAGGTACACCCAGTGTATGTATATTTAAAAAAACATGCATGCTTTGAGTCTTGATGACCGAGTTAACTTTCGGAATTCGGTTATGAAACTTTAACAGATCTCCGACATTCTTCATATCTTTCACCAACTGATCATTATGGCCACGAGATTTATAACTGTAACTGATGTAAAACCAATATTGCGTGCGTTTTCTTCGTTTAAGGAGAATTCTTTTAAAACTGGATTCTAGAAGAATTTCATTGCGTTGAGAAAGAATTATCGAAAAACATGAAAAGTATTTCAATGATTGAAGAGATTGAACTGGTAATAAAATTATATGAAAATCGCTCGAATTTTTACTTTTTATCAGTTAAAAATTGTGGAACTAAAGTACATTATAAAACAGAAAGTTATTTTCCAGATGTTCAGACTGATGTTAAACAGAATGAAATTCCATGAAAAATATTTTTTTTCATTTCTGTGCAACGATCTATGTAATTTACACATACAATAAAGTCTGCGAGTAATATTATTATCATATAATATATACCAGTTACTATAAGAAGTTTTCGTAAAGTTGATCCTTTGATGACCTCTAGTATAAAAGTTCTAAAAAATTATTTAATTATTCAAACAATAAAGTATCAGTATATAATAGATTTTTTCTTTTGTAATATTTAAAAGTTACAATATATAATTTACGTTTTTATTTCAAAGGTTTTAAACACTGTAAAAAATCCGCTGGCGAAAAATGTTAAAACGATAATAGTTATCCCTAAACTACAGATCTCTATTCAAATTACAATGTTTAATCTGATATGTTCAATTAATCTGATCAATGTTTAAAATGCTACTAATTGTTTCAACAATCAATTATTTATTTTTCAGATAAACATGTAATTCTTCTTCGTTGTGCTTTAGCTTTTTGTCAGAATATATTATAGGTGCATTTGGCCTGCGTTAGACAAGTATACCCCATTCGCTATCAGCAGTTCTTTCAATAAGAGTGACCGTGACTACAATATTTTATTAAATAGAACATATCATCTTTATAAAATATAAAGAATATTCAAGAAAAAATATCTTCATAACTTTCTGTATATTATACCATGCGTTGCAATGCTAAGTGAGAACACACGTAAATGTAATTTATTCTTCTTTGCACAAGATATGAAATGTCGATCGTCACAAATATGTGACGCTGGTAGTGAACGTGATACACTTAATTATTTGATTTCATTACGAGTATTATCAGAGGTTTCTGAAATTAAACTTCACAGTTAACAGGTTAAGAATATAATTAGAATAATGGAGTTACAATAAAGAATTGTTTTCCATACCAAATATTATAAAACAGACTATTAATTAGAAACTTGAGATGACATTATCAGATAAAACTTTAGACCTAATATTTTATTTAACACTATACGTACCGGCACTTCATATGCACCTATTCCTACCGTAACCGATCAAATAACTGGTTCTAAAATAAAGGTAAGCAAGTTGAATGATTAATTATTCCTAATGATAACAAAAACAAAAGGAAAGGCAAAAATTAAAATACCGATTAACCGAACCATATAAGAGCTAATGAGACGATAAATGGACAAAAGAAAATGCAGAATTTTTAATCGAATTTGAAAACCGGTCGCGGTGCGTTTAGTGCTAAAGAAGAACTTTGATTCGCTAAGAATCAAGAGTTCATTCAATCTCCCGTATCGCGGTTTCGAACGCAGGGATGATTTTACGTGAATCACAATGACTCGCCTGCCCCCTCTATTCCAGCGACCTAACGATCCGAGTTTGTACGAGTGCTGCACGGGTTGAGACACCGCCAGCTGACTCACGTAGCCACCACGAGTCGTCGTCTCTCCACGCTCTCTCTCTCCCGAGAGAATGAAGCCACGTTTCGCCTCTAGTCTCGTTCCAAACTCGGAACACTTCTGGTATTCGCGGTCAGTTCCGTTCTTCGCCGGCTTGATCGCCGCCGATCGTCGCGTTCCACTCGCAACACCCCCGCGGTCGATTAACACGTTCACGTTAGAACATGTTTCTGTATATTTAACTTGTTAACTGTGGAATTTAGTTTGCAGAGTCTTTCATTGTGCGCGCAGCAAAATAAGAAAATGAAGTGTGTACTTGTCAAACGCAGGACGAATACACCTAGGGTATATGTTAACACGTTGAATGTTATTGGGGTCACCGGTGACCCTCCATAGAATTACTATAGTTCACTCAATTAAACGATCATTATTTGCAAACATTTTTATATTATAAGTAATGCTACCTAATGCGGTGACATTTAGTAAGATAAACGTGGAATAATAATAAAAAAATAATTTGATATTATATTTTTTTCAATTCATTCAATGTGTTAATGAAAGACCAAAGCAAAAGAAAGAAGAATTACATGTTTATCTGAAAAAATAAATAATTAATCATTGAAAGAATTAGTATTATTTTGGGTTTTAAAATGACATGCATTCTTGTCAAACGCAGTTAACTGGTTAAAACACGAAATACGAAATATAACCGTGGCAAACAGGAGATAGGACAGTGATTGAAGAATCTTCGAACTAGTTCTTGTCTCTTGGAAATTCGAAGAAAAGCTTGTGTTCTCTTTACTTGGATGAAAACTCTGCTTGGATATTGCTGCTCAGACCTTTGGAACACGATGATTTATTCGTGTTATTATGTAGATTGACGAAGTAAAAAGAGACTGGACTTTACGTGAAGTTTCTATTTCTAGGATAGTTCGGTTAGATTGTGTCAGTGGTTCGTTAACACTTAACGCACCGGCATTTTGTATGTACCCACTGAAACCAGTGAAATAACTGGTTAGAAAACGCAAACAAGTTAGTTATAATACATTTATCTTACTGGAAACAAACAACAGGAAAGGCAAATATTGAATAAATGATTAATGGGACAATGTAGAAATTGATATAAAGTTAAATGGACTGAAGGAAACGCAGGATTTTCAATCAAACTCTAAACCTGTACATTTGACCTGTCGCAGTACGTTCAATGTTAAACTTGTTGTAGAGGTTGTCGAGTAGTGCTTCTAAACATGTAACTGAACGATGGAGATTGAAAGTATCAGTGAACATATACTCAACGAAGTTGCTTCTCTTCGTTGAGATGCATAGGAAGCATTCGCTACGTGTGACAAAGAAGTCGGAAACAAATTCTCAGCTACGTCGGTGTTAAAGTTAGTCTCAGACTTGCGAAATTCGGCTCGGAAATTAAACCGAGGAGAATGCATCCGTGTTCGTTGAGATGGAAATTATGTTTATTTCTTTAGTGGGAGTTTTCTCTCGACTGTTGAATTCTAGAAATGAATTATGTTTCGATAAACGTTTAACGCTCACGATTTTTAAGTAAATTAACATCCGGTTCGAAGAACCACGTACACAATTAAAACAGGGTATAAAATACTAATCGAACAGTGAATTCTCAAACTACGCTTTTCACGTGGGCTTCAAGGATTGCATTCGCCAACGGTCGTTGCAAATAAGCCTGACGAACATTCGCATTAATGAGTTACAAAAGAAAATTGATGTCAGTGAAAAATAGAGTCGGATGTTGCTCGACGGGCACACGTTTTGCTGCCTCTGTGGAATGAATTGTTCGAAGTGTCCTTAGATAGCAGTGCTCTAGTGAGAATCGTCCCGGAGGAAGACGCAGGGTCTCGATGCTTTTGAGGAGGTATAAATCGTATATTGTGCAGTGATATTTTCTGGTGACGTTATTGTCTGAGAGGCAGCGATTTCCAGGATGGCGAGCGAGGTGATGCTGGCGCCCACCGCGGCGCCTGGAACGTCCAGACGAGAAATAGACGACGTCAGAGATATGGTTAGAAACGCAACCGTCACGACCGTTTACGTAAGTTACGAGATTCGCTGAGATTCGTTTAAGCTGCGTTCGAATGTAATGTTGGCCACGTGATTACATACTCCGCGTTGTTAGCGAGAAGAGCCTCGGGACGGCACAAGGGCAAAAAGCGTCTCTCGCTAGGGTTTTGTTTATGGTTTTGATTGGTTAACACGTTGAATAACCACAGAATAATGCCATTCAATCGTATGATTTAATATTATATTTTGTCCACTTGGTGTATTTTACTCTATGAAATCGTGTGGCATTCAATATATTAAGTGTAACATATTGACTAATAGCAAGTTAGTATCGAAAATAAGATAAGAAAAGATGAAAGTTCGCTAAAATAACTTGGGGTTGGTTTCGGGGATGTTTTACTTGTAACGTATCATTCCATTGTGACTAGGCGATGATTTTATTTTAACCTTTTAACTAGGTATTTTCTAAATGACTCTAGGCTAATTTAATTACCAATAGATTCATGGGACCTATCAATTTGACGGATATTGAATTTTTAAACATTATTTGATAACAGTTTAGGTCGATTTTGATTCGAGTGATTAGGTGAATGCACATTGTAATTCTTTGGCTTTGAAGATGTAACTTCCAGGATCTATATGGACGAACATATAGATTCCTAGAAACAATAAAATTTAGCGTGCAATGAAAAAATATTTGTATCTTCTTCTCATCTATATATTCATTGTATACTTTTATTATTGTTTTCGCAAGCCGTAGCATTCTAGTTTTTAATTTTTTCATTATGTGATAAATCTGGACAACACAAAAGACTATTAAAACGATACAGTTATCGTAACATGAAAAAAGATAGACTTGAAAACCGTCCTCACGCAACAGAATATGCAGTATTATTAGATGGCACCGGATAAAGCTATATTTCTTTAAAATATATGAATAATGACAACGCATAAACATATGTAATAAATTTTACATTAAGAAATTTTATTATGTATATTTTAATATGACTTCATAAACTGGTATTTTTAAAATGTTACACTTTACAAAACACTTTAACAACTTCGATAATTAAAATTGACTTGCCGTTAATAAATTTTATTCTGTATATTTACAATGAATATTGATCTTATTTATCTATTGGCAAATTATTATTATCGAAGTTGTTCAAGTGTTTTTGTAAAGTGTAACATTTTTAAAATATCAGTTTGTGAAGGCATATTAAAAAAAGTTGATTTTTAAACATTTTTTAATCTTTTCAAACTCTTTGATTGCGACACGCTTTACCAAATAACCATTAACATTGCGTTGAGACATGACGTTATATTTATTCTTAGAAATTGAATCATTAAGTTGTATAGAGCAAAAAAATAACCTTAGACTAGTGATTTAGTAAATTTTCGCGCGAGATGTAAGAATATATCGATTACTATACCAGTTTAGTGCAATAATAAATGTCTTATATTCGACGAAATTTATTGAGCGAATGTATACAACTTCCGTAACTAGAAGGTTAACTTAAGAGATGGTATTATACCGATTTTTCTAAGAAGTAAGTCATATACATTTATAGCATACTTTATTGGTCAAAGTGAATGAGAACAAAAACATCAATATATTCAATGTTTCTGATAGAAGAAACGTGTCTCTGTTTGATTCTTATTTTTGTAAATTGCTTGAGGAAGGTGATAAACTCGTGACGTTTAAAATTCTTCCTTCGTAGAAACGTTAAATTCTAAATTAAAATCTATATTAAACTAATTACGAGAAAACCTATAATAAGAATATATAATAAAAACATATAATAAAATTATTGCATTGGAAGCTAGTCCTATGAAAAACATAAGTTAAAAATGTGAAATAAATTTTGTTCGATATCTTTATCCCTCGTATCACCTGCATTTAATCAAGGGTTAGTTACATGCACGTGAGTTCGATAAATTATCGATACTTGTTTTCTCGAAAATGTGATCTCAAATTTGTTTTCCATTTTCAATTTATTTCTTCACGTAGAAAACTCGCTTCCTCGTTAATCCGCCATTAACAGAACACCATGTATCCTCCAAATGCGTAGTTTCGTTGAGTTAGCACGAGTTTTTTTTAAAGTACAGTTAGAAATTCCAATATTTCAATAAACAGGGTTAACGTTTAACACAAGTTTCTATTTGCACAGTTAGAAACTTTATAATCGTGCAATCTGGAAAGACCTACATGAACAGTATATTGTAACCTACAACGTCGAACAATTTACATTAAAGACACGTTTGTACGACTTTCTTTGTACGTGAACGAGGTAGAGCGTACATGAAAGGCGTTACTTGTTGGCAGATCTTGGGAATTTTATCAATGTGAAAATGACGCAGTGTCCAGAATCATTGAAGTTACAATAGCAGAGAGTTCTGACAGATATCTTTCATATGATAAATAAATATACAAACAAGTGATTTGCACCAAACAAAGAATGATTTGTGAATGCTAATTTAATGGATCATAAATTTGTTCGTTCCTCGCACAGTGCAGTGCTTCGACATTTAAATTTCGCGGACTCGTACATTCTATCTGAGCTCGATAAAGTTAATTCAAATACGTTGATTTCTATGAAACATAAATTTAATTTCAGCAGATGATAAATATAATTCAAGTTTTTTCTTTTTATGAGGTAAAATTATTTCTGAAAAATGGAAATATTGGATATATAGATTTTTTTATTGAATATTCTTACTTACAAGCAAAAGAAATTAATTAAATTCAACATAAAGAGTTTCTTAACTAAATATGCAAAATGTCTTATTAATTCTTTTGTGCAACTAATTCTTTAGCGATTGTTATTAATTTAGAATGAGGACCAAAGCCCTTTGAAATTATTTCAATCTCTTCATGAGCAACTTTATTCAAGAACATGTTTTAAAATTCTCTCCAATTACATGAATACAATAAATCTATCGTTAAACTCCTTTTTTGCGGAACTTATTAAAAAATCTCTCGGAATTCTTAAAAAGTCTAGATTTCACGGTATCCGAATTTAGGAAGACCGCGCATTAGTCACCAAATCGATTGTTCAAGTCTTCGTTCGAACGAGAATTTTCTACAATATCAATCTCATAAATTGAGAAATCACGGAGAAGTTCTCTTCCCACGTTATCCGTTTTGACTTCCATTTTTGTTCCCGATATTTGTCCCGGGTCTCTTAAAATGTCGCACAAACGTGCCAAATCCTGGACTCAAATAAAAGAGTCCACGAGATATCATACCCGGAAATTCATTGTCGCCTGTCGTCGTACACGATCGAAAATGCGTCAAGACGTCGGCGCCGTCAAGTTTTTTTTCGGTGTACATATTCTCACGGTTAGTGCCCGAAAGTCGGGACTGCGACCGAGCACTAATCGTGGAGTGCTGTTGATTCGAAGTCGAGATTCGAGTCGAGCGCCCGTTTATTCTTTGTAAAGGACAACGCGAATAAAAGAGCGAAACGCCCGACTTTGGAACGATCAAAAGAAATAGATGAATGAAGGAATACATACTAATGGAATGTTAAACTTTTTTATTTTTCACTTTTACTAATTGAAACGTTTACTAATTGAATTGTAAGGTTTTTCTCATTAAAATGAAACCATACACGATATATTTTGTAACACATTTACTTATTTAATAAATTACATAATCTACTTTTTTCTAGTAAATTATGACTTAAAGAATGTGATGTTTGGTCTCGTTTTAATCCGAAGAATTTCACAAATGTGCTATTAAAATTTTCATTTACAGAAAGGTCCTCATAAAAATGTTTTATAATTGCATTAATATTGTCTCATCGATATCTACCCTATTGAACAGCGTATCATATTACAACTGCTCGACCGTCGAATTTCTCGGCTTGCTGAGGGGACTCGCCCCTCAGTGGTGGGGATGACTACTGGGAACTAATCCTGCAGATCGAACCGGGTATTAATAATACCGAATACAAAATTCCTTGTCGACTATCAACGAACCGTAAACCGCTATGTAGTTCGCCATTCTTCATCGGTCAACGATACACAGGAGCGATAAGAGCTGTAGATAAGTGTATTCTATATTCCCAATAACCACCGTTGCAGCTTTTCTCGGCTAACAACCAGCTATGATAGAACGGATTCTTCGTTTTAGCGTGGCATTACCGGTCGCAATAATTAATTTTCTGCGCGGCCTCGTTTCCTCAGAGTAAACAATGATCAGCGCACGGTAATGTATGCTGATAATGCATTGGCTATCGCGTTCGTTTAGCAGTGATGGAGTTTCCGCGTGTTTTACGAATTAACGATCTACGCACGTGTTTGAGCTAGGTCCGCAGCGGGAGTACGTGATACCGTAAATACGTGTCGGTTTAGAAATTGTAGTATGCTATGGTTTATGCTATAGATAACTGAAATTCGCTATTTTTGAGATAACATAGATAAATGGTTCTTTGGGCTGCTCTTAAATCGATATTGGAGTTGGGCTACTGGAAGCTTTATTTCTGTATATTTTTAGCAGACGTTTGAGCTTTTGAAGTGTTGGTTTTTCATTTAGCAGTTTGTGGACCAAATGTTCTTGGTTTCTTGGAATTTGTATCAACGTATCTGAAATTGAACTTATAATTTATCCCTTGGCACTTCTAATTCCTTTTGCATTTTGTTTTAGATCATTATTACTTTAAATGTTTGATTTGAAATGCGCTTTCGAAGATAGATTATAGAAAGCAGTAATATGGAAAATAATATAATCATATATTTTAAAAATATCTTGACAAAGAGGCACACCTGAGAATAAAACTGATGTCGAGTTACAGTTTACATTTAAACTGCACTTATCTGTGATGTGATTGTGATGTTAAAAATAAAACTAAAAACTAGACTGAGTCGAGATTTGCAATGGTTTAGAATAAAACAATTTATACAACTTTAGGTGGCTCGCTGTGTATAATTACAACTACATCTGAAATAAATACGTGTATAGCATTATAAACATTGTATAATAGAAAAGTGTTAGTTGTTTCAACATAGAATTAATTATACTAACAA